AGGTCCTTGCCACAAACCCCTAAACCGTATGACATTTGTTTTTATGGATTCAATTAAAGTCCCTAAACCCTGAACCCCTAAACCGTCTGACTTTAACTTGGCTCCTGCCTTTTCGGCATTCGGCTTCAGACATCTGATGAAATGCGGCTCGGCCGAGCTGACCTCAGCGGAACTACTCTTGTCAACACTGGACACATGATGCTTAGGGTTTAGGGATAGGGTTTAGGGTTTAGGGTTTAGGGTTTAGAGTTTAGGTTTTAGGGTTTAGGGTTGCAGACCATGGGCGCAGCATAGCAACGCACAGCGTGGTGCACTATACTAGAGTGTCAATCTGACATACTTTGCTTCAATGCTCTCCATCATAATCTCTTGGAGTCTCTGCTCGTATCTGCTCACAGCTGCAAGAGTGCCCTTTCATTCCCAGTGAGTGTAGTTTTTGGTAGTGACGACATCTTCGAAAATGCAATCCCCCAGAGTTGCATTCTGACTTTACGTAGCAGTCACAGCTCACCAACAGTACAACCGCCAGACCATTCTTGGAGACAGCTGGGTCCAGGGCGGTTTGCATCAAATCCGCGAGAGACTGCCGGAAACCAGAACTCACAGTCTTCGGCTTCGCCTTCGCACCAGAGCGAAGAGCGAAGCATGAACATGTTCTGCTGTGACAGTGGTTTAGGGTTTAGGGTTTAGGGTTAACCCCTAATCTCATGATGTATTCTCACGGATCAGAAATTCCTGGAACGGTCGCTCTCGTCGTGAAGCTGCTGCTGCTACTGCTGCTACCTGGGCTGGGATCCCCAAAGTGTTGGGCCTCTCTCTTCCTTTCTCTCTCAAAATTTGGGGTTATCAAAGAGCGCAGAAACACAGGACTGCAGGGTCTGCGGCCTGCCAAAGGAAGGGTTTAGAGCAAAGCACTGAGCAATGAGATCGTTCAAAGTGCCACCCCTTAATACTGCATGTTTTTGCGAAATCAATCTGTAGTAGTTTGCGATTTCAATCTGTAGTGCTTCGGGAGGTGCTGCTGCTGCTTCTACTGCAACTGCTACTGCTGCTGCTGCTGCTGCTGCTGCTGCTGCTGCTGCTACTACTACTACTACTACTACTAAGAGTAGTAATGATTACTACTCCTGCTGCTGCTGCTGCTACCACTAAACTACTAAACTCAACTGCTAAACTCAAACAATCAGCGGCTGTCTCCCTAAACCCTTATAGTATCCTTACGGAACCCCATGGAGAACTTTGAATCGCTTCTGTAGGTGGGTTCCTTATTGTATATACAGTATAACAGACCCCCAAACCCTATTCTAGATACTAAGGCCCCTACATTACTAAACCCGAAGCCCTGCAGCTCAACACTCTAAGCCCTAAGCCCTTCAACCCTAAACCCCTAAAGCC